GTTTCAAAAGATTAGTTACCTTTAAAAGAAGTACTAAAGGTGACTTTCAACTACTTTTTATTGACTAACACAGACCAGATAAACCCTTCTATTCAAAGCCATAGACTCTTCTCCAGTAGCCGTAATGAATAAGCCATTTTATCCCCTTGCTTGAGATCTAAATAATACTGTCTACATATTTTTCAAGTACATATAGACATATGTGTGTGCTGTTACCAAATGTCAGACAGATAGATAGACAGATAGCGCTTCTCTTTTTATAGTAATCAAAGGTATGAACACTGGTCTGTACCTTCTTTTCTTATCACATTTAAATAGCTTAGAGATAATTCCATATGAGCAAATTACTTTATTTTTTTTTAATATATTTTTTATTGATTTTTTACAGAGAGGAAGGGAGAGAGATAGAGAGTCAGAAACATCGATGAGAGAGAAACATCAATCAGCTGCCTCCTGCACATCTCCCACCGGGGATGTGCCCGAAACCCAGGTACATGCCCCTGACCGGAACCGAACCTGGGACCCCCCAGTCCGCAGGCCAACGCTCTATCCACTGAGCCAAACCGGTTTCGGCAGCAGTTTAACATTTTTAAGAATTTACTGATCATTTCCTTTTGTTCCATCAGCTTATGTGAAACTGAACAAGCTTCTTAACGTGTCAGGCTCACCTAGAGTAGTCTTTTAGAAATGCTTTTGGAAATAGATTTTATGACTCTGATGATGTCTACCAATATTTTCTTGCAGAATAAGAAAATCCCCTCTCGGCACACTGAGCACCTGCTGCCGGCGCTGCGTTTTTGTTTTTCTCTGCTCCCCTGCCCTCTGCCGCGACCATGCTCCGCCAGATCCTCAGCCAGGCCAAGAAGCATCCCAGCTTGATCCCCCTCTTCGTGTTTATCGGAGCCGGGGGGACTGGAGCGGCGCTGTATGTCACACGCCTGCCGCTGTTCAACCCAGACGTCTGTTGGGACAGAAAGAATAACCCAGAACCCTGGAACAAAGTGGCTCCCAATGAGCAATACAAGTTCTACTCAGTGAATGTAGATTACAGCAAACTGAAGAAAGAAGGTCCAGACTTCTAAATGAAATATTTCACTATAAAGCTGCTTAAAATGAAGGTCTTCCAGAAGCCATCCGCACAATTTTCCGCTTAACCAGGAAATATTTCCCCTTCAAGTGCACGGAATCATATTGGTGTATTGTGTTGGGGTTTACACTGGTCAATAAATAGTTGACACTAAATTTTTTTTCATTTCCTTTTGTTCCATCAGCTTATGTGAAACTGAACAAGCTTCTTAACGTGTCAGGCTCACCTAGAGTAGTCTTTTAGAAATGCTTTTGGAAATAGATTTTATGACTCTGATGATGTCTACCAATATTTTCTTGCAGAATAAGAAAATCCTATTTATAAAATTGTCTAGAAGTACACTTTATTAATTCAATGCAGAATGAATATACCTTTTTAAAGTCCTCACTTGAGGATATTTTTCCATTGATTTTTAGTGAGAGTGGAAGGGAGAGGGAAAGACAGAGAGAAACACATCGATTGGTTGCCTCCTGCCTGGGGCTGGGGAGGAGCCTGCAACCGAGGTATGTACCCTTGAATGCAATCTAACCCAGGACTCTTTGGTTTGCAGGCTGATGCTCTCTTCACTGAGCCAAACTGGCTAGGGAAAATATATCTATTTTTTTTCAAATATATCTTTTTAATGACAATTTGTAGTTTCTTGGTACTGTTTTTTGTTAAAAAAAATGTTTTTCTGTTGTTTATATTTGAGGAGGGGTGGTTACTGGTATTTTGTATCTGGGTTTAATATACCTATACTTGCATATCATTAATAAAAATGTCCAGTGTGGCTCAGTTGATTGGGCATTGTCCTATGCAACAAAAGGTTTCTGGTTTGATTCCCAGTCAGGGCACCTGCCCAGATTGTAGGTTCTGTCTCAGTTGAGGTAGATATAGGAGGCAGTCAATGTTGCTCTCTCACATCGATATTCCTTTCTCTCTCTTTTTCTCTCTCCACCCTCCCTCCCTCTCACTCTAAAAAAACCAATAAAAACATATCCTCAGGTGAGGGTTAAAATTATTTTTTAATATCAAGGTAGCAGAGGTCCCAGTCTTCTCAAATCCAAAATAAGATTTTCACTCTCAGGTCTTAAAAGCTCTTATTTCCTGTTCATATTCCATGCTCCCAATTTATTTATTAATTAAATATATATTTTTTATTGATTTCAGAGATGAAAGGAGAAGGAGAGATAGAAACATCAATGATGAATCATTGACTGGCTACGTCCTGCACACTCATCACTGGGGATCGAGACCACAACCCAGGCATGTGCCCTGACCAGGAATCGAATCGTGACCTTCTGGTTTATAGGTTGATATTCAACCACTGAACTATGCCTGCCAGTGCAATAATGGCATAATTTTAAAAAAAATGATGGACAATAGCAAATTTTGGTGAGAAGTAGAGAAATTGGAATCTGTGGTTGATAGACTAAACTTCCCCTCAAAAGATGTCCATTTCTAAACTCAGGAATCTCTGAATGTTACCCTGAATGCCAAAGAAAACATGCTGCATGAGATGGGTTCATTATCATGAATTATTCAGGTGTGCCCCATATAATCACAGTGGTCTTATAAGAGGGAATCAGTAGTGTCATAGTCAATCAAAAAATGGAAATGTAAAATGGTGTAGGTTAAAATAGTTTGATAATTCCCCAGAATGTTAAGTACAGAGTTATCATATGACCCAGCAATTGTACTCTTAGGGAAGTGAAAATAAAAGTCTACTCAAAAAAACTTGTAGAGGAATGTTCAAAACAGCATAATTCATAATACAGGTACTCAAAAAATGGAAACAATCCAAAGGTTCATACATTTTTTTGAGAATTTTATGAGAATTTTATTTGTGCCAAACTGACATGATGGAAACAAGATCTCAAATGCTCCCCCATAACTTTTTGAGTGCATATACAAAATGTGGAATATCCATAGAATGGAATATTATTCAGTCCTCAAAAAAAAACAAGTGAATTGCTGGTACATAGTACAACATGTATGAGCTTTACACATGAACACATATGATCATGCAAAATGAAACAAACCCGACACAAAAGGCCACATATTATACGAATCCGTTGATATGCTCAGAATGTGCAAATCCATGGAGACATAGGTTACTGGTTGCTAGAGGATGGCAGGAGGGGAAAAGGGAGAGTGCTACTGGTTTACAAAGGTGGGTGTTTCCTTTTGGGGAGAACACATTCTGGAGTTAGATAGTGGTGATGGTTGCACATCCTTTTGAATATACTAAAAACCACTGAATTTACCATTTTACAGGCGCAAACTTAATGGTACGTTACGCATATGGCAATTCAAAAATTGGGAAAAAATCATAATCAGCAGTATGATTTTATGCACACCTTTTATGTGCCAGGTAGTTATACACTTGTCTCACTGATCTCACAGTGGAGTAACTAGCGCACATTTCACATTGATATTCGTAGTGACCACCTGAGTACCTATCAACCTTCTTACCATCCTGGGGGATTCCTAGAAGAGTAACACCTGCTCCCCGAATATGTGACTCAGGATAGACACACAGGTGTGCACGTGAAGCTGCGAGACGACTCGTTACTTAGAGCTTTAAATTCCGGGGCAGAGGCGTCGCAAAACCTCGTAACCAAAGAAACCACGCGACTCCTCCCGCAAAGCCCGCCAGCGCCTCCCGGCGTCCACAGCGCGGCGGCCGCGGGAAGTGACGTCACTGCAAGTTCCGGTCCCGTCTCTTCCGGGCACCAACCTGCTCTGGAGCAATCACACGGTGCACGTGTGTTCGCGCAGCTCCGGGTGCGGTAGCATGGACGCTCTGGATCGGGTTGTGTAAGTTCGCCGACTCCCTGCTGCGGGGAGCGCAGGGTAGCGGGGCCCCTGCGGGGGGTTGGGTGCTGTGGCTACTGCGCCCCGCTTCTGGTACCCCTCTGCATCCTCACACCGCTGCCCGCGGAGGCCGGTCCGCCCACTAGTCGGGTCTCCCGGGTAGTGCCCGGCGGGGAGCGGGGAGCCGCCGTGGCGGCCGCGGGGGGAGGTTGCGCAGAGGCATTGCGGCTTTTTATCCTGGCGGGTCAGCAAGGCTCGGGCTTCCGCAGTGCGGGCGAGTGGAGAAGGGGGGTCGCCGACCTCCGAGTCTGACAAATCTACGTGACAGATTGGGCGCGCCCACGGAAGCCACTTAATTTCCCTAAGTCCCACTTTCTAAAATAGGGTTCATAGTCGTCCCAGTAGAACTGTGAGGATTATTTGCGAGAATGTATGTAAAGCCTTTGCTACAGCACGGAAAAGTGCTCCTTAGCGTTTTCTTGCCCTCCCACCCTTGTACACTCTCTGAGTTATCTTTGAGTGATGTCTGTTTTAGACCCATTGGAACAGTATTTGTTGGTCTCTTACATAGCCCTGCTGCTATTATTTGCTGTGGTTTTTTCACAGTTTACCTGGGTTAACATGTAAACAAAATCTTTTAGTCCAGTGGTTCTCAACCTTCTGGCCCTTTAAAGACAGTGCCTCATGTTGTCACCCAACCATAAAATTATTTTCGTTGCTACTTCATAACTATAATGTTGCTACTGTTAAGAATGGTAATGTAAATATCTGATATGCAGGATGGTCTTAGGCGACCCCTGTGACAGGGTCGTTCGACTGCCAAAGGGGTCGCGACCCACAGGTTGAGAACCGCTGTCTAAAATGCATATACCTCTAGGTTTGGGGACAGCAAAGATGAGTAAGACTAGTTTACAGTCTGATTGGGGGACAAATAGCAAATAAAACATATCAGGTGTTGCTTACATTCATTGCTGGTTAGTGAGAAGTAACAGTCCACATTGAATGTAGAGCATATAGCATTTATATTGCTATATAGACACACCAAATATCTCTTGATTTGATTTAATAAATATTGTGTATGTTATCAACTAGTAAAAGATCAGAAGCTTATACGTGCTTGACATTTAGCTGGAGGAGAATTTTTAAAATATGCATGGTGAACTAAAGTGTGTTCCTCCTTCCGGAAGAGCCCATGGTCCTGGAAGAAGGAGGGACGGTCAGAGGAGAAATTCTCTCAGTAGATGGCAGAGAACTGTTGGGAAAGCAAGATCTCACTGTAGTGGAAGCAGAGGAAAAGCCCCTTTTCTGAACAGAAACTCCTAAAAACATTCTACTTATGTCATATAAAATCAGAATAATGGATTTGTTTTCCCTTCGTATTCTGCAGGGTGATTGGTCTAGATGAGTTTTAAAAATCTAACTCATTTTGAAGACTTGCCTACTTATAAGCTGTGTGACCCTGGGCAGACTACCTCCCTGGCCAACTTGCCTCATTTATAAATTGAAGATTATAATTGTACTTGTCTCATAGGGTCTTGGTGAAGATAAGCCTTAATAGAGTGACTCTATAAAAGTGTTAATCATTATTCCCCTTGGTGACAATAATGTGTGACATTTTCAGTAGTGAAGTTGAAGTGGGTTAGTGTATACTTCCTGGCAGGCATTGTGGTCTTGAACCTAGAGGAAAGATAAGCAAGAATTAGCCTCCTTATATTTAGTAACAGCCCACAGATTGACCAGCAGTTGGTGTGCAATTCTTTGTGTTAGGTTGCAAAGTATAGTTTGACTGTTTTAATATTAAAGAAAAAATAATGGAATAAAAGTAGCAACAGTATTCACTTGAGCCCCCTTTTTTCCCTTTAATAAAAAAAGGTTTGATAGAAGTAGTAATAAAAGAATGCTGGAAATATTAAAATGAATGCCTTTAAAAAAGCAAAAGGTGGAGGCGGGCTAGAAGGGGTCAGTGGGGGAAAAGGACATAAGTAATACTTTCAACAATAGTTATTTAATTTTTTAAAAAAACAAAACCGAATAAAATTAACTTATTTGACATTAATAAATGAATATTTTTAACTAATTATTTCCCTAAAAAGTGAAATTTTGTTTAATGGTGGAATCCTAACTGATAAATGTCATGTAATGTTTCTTTTGATTTTTACGATTTTCCACGTTAGTCAAGTTATAGATTTATAATGGGAAATGTTTTAAGTTGTTATAAATTGTGATTTTTCTGAACAGAAAGCCCAAAACGAAAAGGGCCAAGAGATTCCTTGAGAAGAGAGAACCGAAACTCAGTG